CCAAAGCTAGACGCTCCTCGTAGTTCTTCTTCCTCAGGGAGATGACTTGCCCAAACTCGTTCTCAATAGCATGCGCTCCTGGCCACTTGTCTGGGCCGTTTAGGACGGCCTCTTTGAGATCGTAAAAGTTGTGGTTTGTGACGGGTTCCGGGTATGTAAGCTTCATGGCGAACACTGGAGGGACACCAATCTCGTTCGTCTCGATGTTCGGGTCGGGCGAAATGACACTGCGCGCGGCGAAGTTGACACGCTTGCCCATCATGTTTTTCCGGAAGAGACCCTCCTTCTTTTCCAGACCCTGCTTGATACCATCAGCGTTTGTGACTGCCGCGCGGCCCTGTACGGGGTTTGCATCGCGGTCGATGAGCGCGTTCACAGCGCCTTGAAGAGCGACGAACTGGGTCTGCATGTCGTCGAAGTTGCGCTGTCGGTATCCAAGTTCGTTGGGTTTACCCTGCATCTCCTGGCTGATTTGACGGATCGTGTCGCATGCTTCGAGAATGCTCTTGTAGAGCTTGTTCCTGGCGGATTCGGCAATGGAGTCGCCGGTCTTGTCCTCCGGTCTGTACTTGTTCGGTGGTACAATGACGGCTTGGGTAAAGAACATGTCGGCGTTTACATCGACAAGAGACTTGGTTCCGTAAGGGCTGTAAAGCAGCCGCATTATCTCAGGCTCGCCTTCGAAGAGCAGAGTCATGGCCGCCTTGACCTCTGTTGCACTCACGTACTCCTGCAGACTCTCGGAGGCATCGGTTGCGGGCTTCGCTTTCCGCGCCATGCGCGACTCGGTGGCAAGGAGCGACCCGTCGGCCTGTTGTATGTCCTCCATATCAACGCCTTCGTCTTCGTCCGAGATCGGGTCCAGGTCTGCGACTCCTTCATCCGCGTGTACGTGTTGCTTCTTCGCCTTCGCGTCTCTGCGAGCCAGGACATCCAGCGGGTTCTGTATGCGCTTTTCCAGCTGAGCCATCTTGGCCTTGTCTTTCTGGCTCATGGCCTTTCGGAAGATCTTGATGCCACGGTCCTTGCGGTATGTTGGGCTGATGCCCTGGCAATTGCCGCAGGTCTTGCGCTTGCTGAGATCGGCGTAGAAGTCCTTGACCACTTGTCGCCGCGCGTCGGAGATGGTCTCATTCTTGTCGCGTATCGATCGTGCATCGTGCTTGGAAATGTTTGCTCGTTTCATGCACTTCTTGACGTAGCTGTTGCGCTGTGTGATGATGTCGGCGTTGTCATCGTCGTCGTCGTCTTCCGAGTTGTCTGCATTCTGAGTGCTGGACTTGCCCTTGTCCATGTTAATATGCTCGTGCATCTCGGCTGCCTCTTTTACCAATCCACATCGTATTAACCGCAGCTTGGAGACGAATTCGTTGATCTGAACGCGGGCGAGCTTGAGCTGGTGGCAGTATGCACACTTGCCCCGGAGCAGTCGAAGCAGCTGGTCCATGAAGGTGAGGTGATATACGGGTACGGGAAGCTCGATGTGGCCGCAGTGGCCGGGACAGCCCAGGAAGCTGGTGAGACCGCATGTTCCGCATCTTGAAGTTTGTTAGCGGAATGAACAGAGCTGACAGAAACATGGTGAAGCTCACGGGTTGTCCAGGAAAGCGCCCAATGCAGCATCGTGCAGACCGCCGGGTACGGGGTGAAGCAGTGTATCGAAGGTGGTCGGGTTCGTGATGCGCTTCACCGAGAGCGACTTGATGTCGTTTGTGGTCAAGAAGCCAAACTCGACGCCATTAATGGCCGAGGAAGTTGGCTGGTGGGTATTCATGACGGCACCTATTTGCCTGTTGCGCTTTCTGCCGGGAGAGAATCGCGCGCAAAGGCGTTCAGTGAAGGTTCGCAGCAGGCGCGAGACTTGCGGGGAGTTTTTTCGGGACCAAAAAAGTTCGGCCAGGGTTTAGCCGGCACGCGCCAAGACGCTTGCTGAGCGGCAGCGTTGATTTCGCGTCACTCCGCAGCGACTGGTTTCCATCATCAAATCAACCTCACCCCACTCACTCGTCGCATCCGGTCGACAGTCGCCGGCTACATCCTCCGCGCATCGAATGTAGTGAATTGCCTCGAGTCTGCACAGCGATCCCGCGACGACCACGACGACGCGCCGTTTCAATCAAACTCGACCTCCGCACCTCCGCATAGTCCGACCACACGACCAACACTCCTTTACCTACCACACTCCACCATGACCATGGCAGAGAAGCGCCCATACCCTGACGGCCAGGGCCCCAACGGGGACGCAAAGCGCGCAAAGGGCTCTGATGCTGTCGAAGCCGCAAAGGCGAAAGCCAAGGCAAAGGCTGCCGAGATTGCTGCCCGTTTCGCAAAGCCGCCTGCTGCTGCTGCGGCTCCTCCGTCGGCATCGGCTGGCGCAAGCGAGTCTGTTCAGGACAAACTGGCCGCTATGAAGGCGAGGATGGAGGCGCTCAAGGCTGGCTCAGGAATCGCCAAAGCCCCAACGCCCGACTCCACCGGGCCTCGCTTTGCGACAACACTGGGCAACCGCCGCTCCGAGACGCCTAAAGTCGATCCCAAGGCCAAACCTACCGCCTCCAAGCCGAAACAACAACAAGAGGAGGAGCTAGAGAACCCGTACTTCGATCCCAAGGCTGCCGCCCTTGCCAAGAAGAGAGGTCCTCGTGTTCTGGCCTTCAATGAGCATGGAAAGTACCTTGACCAGGCCTCCAAGCTGCGCGCGCAACGTCGCCTGGAGGAGATCAAGAAGACTCTGGCTATCCAAGCCCGCCGTGCTGGCCTGGACGAGAATAGCGAGCGCGGATTCCTTGTTCAGGCCCCTCCGGACATAGAATGGTGGGACGAGGGCATTTTGGCCGAGCCCACCTACGAGTGCATGGATGACCCAAGCAAGGTCAAGGTGGAGACTGACGATTCTATCATCACTCTCTACGTACAGCACCCCCCTCTCCTGAAAGCGCCTCAGGACCAGCGTTTAGTCCAAGTAAAGCCCATGTATCTCACCACAAAGGAGACACAGAAGCTAAGAAGAATGCGCCGTGCGGCCGACCTTAAGGAGCACCAAGCGAAGATCCGTCTTGGATTGGAGCCGCCTCCACCACCCAAGGTCAAGCGTGGAAACATGATGCGTGTCATGGGCGAGCAAGCCATTGCAGACCCTACTGCTGTAGAGATGCTTGTCGAATCGCAGATCCAGCAGCGTCACGATGACCACATCACCGCAAACGAAGACCGCAAGTTGACCAAAGAAGAGCGACAGGCCAAGCTTGCTGCCAACCAGGATAAGGACGCGCAAAAGGGTCTTTACATGTGCGTTTTCAAGATCAACACACTCGCCTATGGCAAACATCGCTTCCAGATCGACAACAATGCAAAAGAATACGCACTTACCGGTATTACCCTGTTCAATCCCGATCTCAATCTGGTTGTCGTCGAAGGCGGCGCATATGCAATCAACAAATACAAGAAGCTTATGCTCCAACGTATCAAGTGGCATGAGAACGGGCCACCTACAGAGAACCAGGCCGAGAAGCAAGCACATGATCCAAAGTGGCTGAGGCCAGTCACGGATACTGGAGACGTAAAGGACCATTCATCCAACAAGTGTATCCTCATCTTCGAGGGTGAGATCAAAGAGCGCTCTTTTCGGAAGTGGGGCTCAAGAGTCTGCGAAACCGCTGGAGAGGCTCGCGAGACACTTGGAAGGGCCAAACTTGACAGCCTGTGGGCCCTGGCCAAAAGTATGGAGTGAGCACTTCTGCTTTTCGAGTTCTGGACAGTCCGGAACTATACAACATATTTGGCGACTTTATGCGACTTTGCATCGGACATACACCATTTCAGGACGCTCGTTTGGGCAAGCGAATTCGCGAAGGACTTCTTTTCATGCCAAATGTAAGTTTACTCATAACTCCATAGTTTGGAATATACGTATTAATGCACACCTTTCTTGGTCCAGCCTCGCAATTGTGATGTTGCGTGTAGTTCAGATCTACCTAGTCTAGGCTAGTCGTGCCGTGACAGAGCCCGTTCGATCTATTGCCCTAAGTTACCTTGTAGTGATCTACGGTAAGTGCTGCAGTATCCGTCCTCTACTGTGAAGACTATCTGGCATAACTCGAAACAAGCATCATCGTAGGTTTATTTCTCGTGCTTAGTCGTTTCTAAATTTTACCTCAATTGCTTCTTCTATTCTCTTCCTTGTGCATACGCGGCAACACACATGTTCATCAAGTTTTCAAAGTAGATTGTTTTCTTGGCCGAGTCGCCCCAGGACCCACTTTCAGCAGCCTCGTTGGCCTGAGCAAAATGCTGGTCGTAGTCCCCTAGATAGCGGGTTGGGCGCACTTACCAGACTGTTCGCTACGAATGCCTCCACGCTACCTCATAACCCCCTCCTACGCCGGCAGCGAGGACTGTGTGTTCTCCTCGGTGTAATGCGGGCAGGTATTGCAACACAATTTCCAGCAATTTAGTAGTCTACCGTGAGAGCTTTATTGTTCTACCTTCTCTCAACGCATACCTCAGTCAATGATGCTCGGCGGCACTCAAGATACTTTGAGCTGTCCTATGTAGGCTAAGAACGCCGCGAAGTTATCCAGGCCCATGTTTGAGGTGTTCCACGTGCATGCTGGGTGTTCTTTCCATTGTAGGGAGACGGGAGGAGCTGAGAGCTGCACGTGGTGGGCTTCGCTGACGTTTGCAACCAACTTCGTTACAGTATGTGCAGTCATCCCAAACCATGGTTACGTCAATTTCACACCCGTTAACGGAAGGGCCCTGCTCGCATCCATAAATTGTGCCTACCACCAATTTTCATCCATCTCTCTATCACACACACATACACATACACATCTTGTTCTGCGACCATCTCAGCCATGACACGAACGAGTGATCTATACGAAAGATGCACCTGTGCCTCCAAAGCCGTCTGGTGGGTCCTCTGCAACTCGCCGGCTATGTACATCACACTATTCCTTTGGTCGCCAATTTTTCCGCTGTTAGCTTCACGAGGATTCATCATGGACTACTACGAGCATGTCTTCGGAATGCCTACACACAGTAGCTGGCTTCAATACCTTTACGTCGACACTCCCTACACTGCTTACATCAACAACTGGGTTACCCTGACCTTGGTCCTGGACATCCTGGTTCTACACACGTACGAGCGCATACGTAGACTTGCGTACTTCGAAGACCCCGTCACGGGACCTCTCGTTGACATCGAGAGCACTGTTTCGTTACCAAAATACTCAACTATACGCGATCTCTTCACCTTTGCGTCTCCAGGCCACCCTCTCTGTCCGGCGTCGAAACCGCGCCGGATCTTTATGATCTTCTGGATCTTCATATGCGTCATGGCAACGGCAGCGATGGTGACATGGAAGTTGCATCAATGGGTTTCAGACTTCTGGAAAATGTTGAATCTTGTCGTTTCGATAGTAAGCAAGGCTCATTCCGGATCGTGGAGGCAGTATGCGAAGATGCCGAAGGCTGGCATGCCTGGGGTGCAGTTGCCGGAACAGATCCAGTATCATGGGTGTGTCATTGCTGTAGTACTTGTTCTTTCGTATTTGTATTTGGCCTAGGCTTTTGGGCGCAGTCAATCAATACCAACTCCCAGTAATGAATACTTCCATCACTTCGATCCTTGTCTTGTTGTTCTTACTCCATGATTTGCCAAGAATACCAAAATGTTGTGAGTGAGAAAAAGGAGGAAAGACAAGATGTATACTTAACATGAGGTAACACTATATTCATGTGGAAAACGTATATGCAAAAAGATAGAGGAAATAGTAAAGACTATAAACTGCTCTCGATACACATACACTTGGAGAATTATACTTTGAAAAGATTGTGTTGATTAACATCTTCGTACTGCATCTACACTTGATATTAAAGCTTGTCCGTATTCCCGTCTCTTTCTCCATCTATCCATTATTCAAGCCAACACTATTCCTATCTAAACACCCAAATACGTCCCGCTGGTAATCTTCTTAACAGTAGCTACAGAGTTCCACCCAATCGCCGGACTAGCCGGCGCATTCTCCTCTGCATCCGCAAACGGATCAGCCTCGCCATCGTCCTTCTTCGCGTTGAGAGGCGCCATCATGCTAACACCTAGCCCGCTACCCAGAGTCAAAGACTGCTCATCGCTAATCTCCCAGCGGGCTTCCGTGTTACCAGGTTTGGCCTGGCCGTCAGTTACGAAGCGTGCGCGTAGGGTTTGGGGGGCGGAGCCTTGAAAGAGGGTTACGTCGCCTAGACGCCAGTAAATGAGTCCCTTGTCGCGCGAGAAGGTACCAGTGGGCTTCGATTGGCACGACGTCGCTTTCGACCCAGGCTCGAGTCGAATCACAAGGACGAGATTGCGAATGGTGATGCTTGTGGCACCGCCAAGTTCGAATCTGGGGTTGAGGGAGTAGTTGAGGATGGCAGACGTCTGTGTCGGTTCTGATTTCCAGGCTGGGGACAAAAGAATTGGTGGGAGGGAGCCGATGTTGCTGTCTTCGATGTGTAACTGGTAGTGAAAGGCTACCGATGTCTTCATGATCTTTGACAAATCTACGGTGTAGTTACCCGGGCTATCTGCCGACTGCTCGATGAATGCAGGATTAGGGGCAACCTTCTCGAGTACAGGAAAGTTCTCCAAACGTATACTCTCAGTGCCGAAAGGACCGGCAGAGATGTCGACAGGGTTATACGCAAGCGCAACCTGCCCGATTACCATTGCCTTGGTAACGTTGCCCTGCTCGAACCACGCGCTGACGGTCTCCACTAACGACGCATTGAGCCCCGGTTCATGCAGGTCCGGGTGTCTGATTGTGGTACTAGCGGAGCTACTTAGCGATCGGCCCGAGCGGATGGATTGTGTATCCGATGTGGCATGGTCTTCCGATAACAATGCGCGATGTGGAGGCTTGAAAGCTGGAGATGTAGGTTGAGGAGGGATAGCAGGGGCAGGAAACGTTGCTGAACCAGGGCCGGAAGCGGGACCAGATTCACTTGTTGGGAGCGGAGGCACCTCGCCTATGCTTTGAAGTTCTGGTGTTGCGGGGTTCGGTACGAATATCGTGTTACGAACATCTCGGCGACCACGCAACGTGCTTGATCGTTTTGGCTGTGCGGCTTGCTGTCCAAGTTTTAGCATATATCCTTTGAGTATTTCCAGTATTGCTTACTGCGCGCAGAGTGTTGACCAGGTTGGCGGTAGCTGCATCAGCGTCACCGTCCTCTTCCTGGATAGGAGCATTTCTAATGTCAAGCTTGAATTGTGGCGGTGGATTGCCCTCATTTTGTGCCCTGATTCCGGTTAGCTACGTAGACTTTTAGGGAGTAAACAATCTTACAGTCCTGCTTCCCTCTCGGCTTCCGAGATGGCATCCAGAGCGGATGGGGGCACAGAGAATCCTTCAGAATCCTTTTCCGGTTCTGGCTGCGTCTCTATAACTGGGAGTGGTGGCAGGGGCTCTTTGAGCTCTGGTATAGACTCTTGAGCTGGCGTTGTTCCGTTCACGGCGCCTGGCGCGTCTGCCTCAGCGGACGACTCAGGTATGGTGCCGTTTGGGGCAGCCTCAGTGCTGCCCTGGCGGGTGAGGCTTGGGGAATCAGATCTTTGGGAAGTACTGGGCCTCTGCGAGAGGCGTCGTAGAGGCGAAGTTGGCCGTTCTGCAGTGGTGCTCAACGAGGAGCCCTGGTTCTCATTATTCTTTGCTTTGCCCTTGCCGAATCCACCGAATACCGAACCAAGGTTTGACGAAGAGTTTCGGTCTGGTGATGTCGCTCTGCCGTATGGATGCGCACTCTGTCTCCGTCGCCCCAAAACTGTCCCAAATCGCTTGAGAGGATTGGAGCTGTGTTTCTCGACAGAGCCGCTCTTCTGGCTCCTGTTGTCATCCGCTGCAGTGGGCGATGTTGGCAGAGGAGGAGGCGGTGCGAGGTTTCTCGAAGGAGTCCCTGGAATGCTCGGCTTTCGCACAGGTTGCGGTGCATCTCCGTTCCGCATCCTCAATGCCCACGTTTGTATCTCATCGGCTGTTTCGATGTTCAGCATGGCGTTCAACGTCTCTTCAGCTGTGGTCCTGCTGCGCTCCACCTGGTCGACTTCATGGGTTTGGAATTGCGTGAGCACATCGCGTAGGTGGTTCAGACGGGTCTCATCAATGGCCTGCAGTTGCTCGAAGACGTAGGGTGCTTGCGAGTCCCATTGCAGCTCAGCCTTCTCGATGTCCTGCACGGCATCGGCAACGGCGGACGCTTTGGCCTTTGATCCCTTATCGCGAAGTTTGCCTTGCTTCTTCTGCGCCGTGTCGATGTCTTTTGCGATTGCGGACAGGTTTCCCTGGATGTTGGCCATGGCCAGTACATCTCGGTTGCTGGCGGTGAAGTCGCGCAGGGGGCGTTCGACGTCGGCCTCGATCTTGGTGGCCAGGTGCGCGTGGGATTGGGCGACGGACTCGGTTGCGCTCACAATCTTCTGCCATGGGGTTGCGAAGATGCTGCCCCCGTGTTAGCTCAGCTCGTGCGCTGCGAGGCGAATGGGGCGGGAAGATACCCCAGATCCGACGACTCATCGGGCGGATGTCTGTTTGCGAGCTTCCGCAGACCTTGGACATATTGTTCTTCGACGCGACGACGTTCCTGCGCATTGGTGAGCACCCATGACGATGCGCGGCACCGGGGGCCGACCCACCTGTAGCCAGTCGGCAATGTGGTTGTTGAGCTGGCCGACATGTCTCATGCGACTGTCGAGGACGGTGACGGCTTGGGCGGGCGAAAGCGATGTCTAGACATGGTGTGAGCCGAAGCTGGGGGAGGGCATACAGACAGCTCTCACCAGCAATGCCGGGTATTCTTTGCGTTGGAGCTCCATGGCGACGAATGCGGGGGACAGGCGCACAGCCACAGGGTAGCAATTCGGGATATTTACATAGAGAGGAAGCTCGGCGAGCTTGTCGGGTGTCGTGGAGCTGTCACAACTGCGCTGTCAGTCATGGCTTGGGGCTCGTCGCTTTTGGCCTAGTCCAAGACACGCGGTTGTGCCCGGCATCTGACGTAACCTTGGTAACGACTAACCCTCGAGATGCCTCCCTGGACCCAGTCGCCAGTCGCCAGCTGCTTCCCACATGGACTCGAGACGCGCCAGAGCCTGTCTAGCCATTGCATGACTATGCGACTTGCTGAGCACGGCCAGCCCGTCCTTGGGCACCGACCGCGTCGGCTTGGGTAGTGTCGCGTCGCTGATTCGGGGCGACTCTTCTTCTTTTCCTGCCTTGACAACACCGCTGCTTGACTGCTACCCTGATACCTGTCCGACAACACCCATTGCGCCCCATGGCTTCCTCGGACTGGCGAGCGAGCCTGGGCTTCACTGCTCGCCTGATGGCTGTCACGAAAATGCAAGTAACATGTTTATACTGTCGCGCTAGGGAGCCCGGTACATGTTAGCACGGAACAGGGCCCGACCTTTTGCATGGCATATTTGCTTGATCGCAATTCACCCCTGGCGTGCAAAAGACACATCGGCCCAATCAGTGCGCGTCCAACGTCATATTCCAGGACTGACAACATTGCAGGACATCAGCCTACCAGACAGCGGACCCATCACTGTCTGCAGACGATGCTCGTAAAAATGCTACTGTAGCTGAGACGACCATCTACGCAAACGCTACATCTCTGGTACAGACCGCCTCTTGAATTTGGTGAATTTGTTTTGACCATGTTGCAGGACGACTACGACAGACTTTGCAATGAGAAGATAACAACCCTTCCCAGACCGTCGCTCGACTTCCCAACACCAGAGGTCAGGACTTGCACTACAAGTGTATGCAAGTTTGCTAACCTAAACTCCAGGATGAAGATTATGTCCCGACACCTGGTGGGAAGCCCATTGGCAACTACCAAAATGCACTCTACCATCGTGAGGGACTCTTCTCTGTCATTTACAAGGCACCTGCGCTGGGTGGTGAAAGCTACTTTCCAGCAGAGTCGCCTTCGAAGACCAAAGTCGTAGCGTTAAAGATTACTACACCATCAGTAATGGAGCCTCCGCACGACTCACAGCGAGAGGCCAAGATATTAGCCATGGCAGCGTCGGAGCGAGTCATTCCACTGATAGAAACCTTTCGTGAGAACGGAAGCCACTTCGTTCTGGTCTTCCCGTTCGTGCGCTACGACTTCAGCGACCTACTGCGGGACAAGAAGCTTTCCAAGAGCCAGATCAAGTCGTGCTTGAAGGACCTCTTCGTTGGTCTCGCCGATGTCCATAGCAAAGGGATTATACATCGCGATGTCAAGCCTTCCAACATACTCCTCAAGTCTCTCGATGGGCCAGCATACCTTTCTGACTTTGGTATCGCATGGGCGCCTGAAGTGCCAGGGTCAGAATCCGCGGATGCGAAGATTACCGATGTTGGCACTACCTGCTACCGACCCCCAGAGCTACTCTTTGGGAACCAAAAGTATGGCTGTAGCTTGGACCTGTGGGCTGCTGGTTGTACAGTCGCTGAAGCTCTTGACCCCAGCCACGAGACGCTGTTCGACTCCGGAGAACTAGGAAGCGATTTGGCCTTGATACAGAGCGTGTTCAAGAAGCTCGGAACCCCGAACCTAGATGTCTGGCCGGTGAGTCGATCTATCTTGTCTGATTCTGAACTCTGCTAACTGAAGTAGGAGGCTGCAAGTTTCCGTGACTGGGGCAAGGTGCAATTCTACGAATACCCAACACAGGACTGGTCGGTCTTGCTGCCAAACCTTTCCGGCGTAGAGCGAGATGTCGTCGCCAGCCTAGTCAAATATGAGAGTGGCTCGAGAATGAGTGCATCCGAGGTGAGTTGGTGCGCCCAATGCGGAGACATAGCTGACTGTGTATGACAGGTGCTCAAGCATGCCTACTTTTCGTCTGCAGAATAGGTTTCTGAGTTTATGTTGGGGATAATTCGCGTCAGGACACAACTTGAGGCGCGGGGCGATTCCGCACGCACCGAATAGCCTGACACATGCATAACTTAATTTGTAAATATTAGTGAAATAGTGATATAACCATTTTTGCCAGTGATGCACTGGCCGAGTAATTGCAATCTAGAGTAATCAGCTGTGGGCGAGTGGACGTACACAAAGTGCGCTAGCGACGCAGGGTTGATCCTCGGCCGTTCACAAGCAACAGCATCACCACGGCAAAGTAGACGTAGAGCAACAACCGCACTGTCCCCCTGTATACCCAATACCGCCCAACGACTTCCAGACATATTCCCCTGCAGTCGCCTGTATGTTGTCGCCGTCAAGATAGCAGCTTTCCGGCCCTGGCCTCAAGTCACAGCCCCTCATAGCACCGCCGCTGTCCCACATCGATCCCCGCCCTGGAAAACTTCCCAACCCACTCAACATGGCATTCCTATTCCGAAACAAGCAGAAGAACAACCTGGAGCTTACCCGCTCTATCAAAGAGCTTACGCTGCGGCTCGGGCAAGAAGACAGGCCCAACCCCAAGGTGCGACCAGACGACTGCTATGGGGCGCCTTGGGCAACATGGCTGACATGTGATAGCTAGAGGAAGGACTTGCTCTGGACCTGCAACAGATGAAAGTTAGACTTCAGGGCACACCCGGTAGGTTTGCTGTCCTTTCACCACGCACCTGCAGGGCTAGCTGCTGACGGCGCCAAAGACACAGAAGTCAACCCGGAGGCTGTCTTCCAGCTTCTTACAAACATCCTCAACGAGGACCTCCTCTATGCGCTAGCAATCAACATTCATAAGCTCCCGTTCGAGTCGCGAAAAGACGCCCAAGTCATCTTCTCCACTGCTTTCCGCTACAAGCCCGCAGGACAAGCTACACCGCAGGTATTGGAACACGTCGTCGCATACCGACCGGATATTATAATAGCGCTATGTCGAGGCTACGACAGGCGAGAAAGCGCCATGCCATGTGGTGGCATCCTTCGTGAAGCGCTCAAGTACGATGCCATCGCTGCGCTGCTGCTCTATGACGAGCCAATGGAAGACGGAAAGACGCTTGACTTGGGCAACGTGAACCCTGATCTGCCGTCTTCTGGCAACGGTGTCTTCTGGAAGTTCTTTGACTGGATAGACAAGGGCGCGTTTGAAGTCAGTGCCGATGCATTTAACACATTCAGGGTAGGTTGACTGGCTGGAACATGTGAACGGACACGCTGACACACGACAGGAAATCCTGACAAAGCACAAGCCTTTAGTCGCTACATTCCTACAAACCAACTTTGACACCTTCTTCACCAAGTACAACTCGATGCTTATCCAGTCTGAGAGCTATGTGACGAAGCGCCAGTCTATCAAACTGCTGGGCGAGATCTTGCTCGACCGAGCAAACTACAATGTTATGACGCAATATGTGGACTCGGGGGAGCATCTCAAGATCATCATGAAGCTACTGCGAGACGACAGGAAGATGATCAACTACGAGGGTTTCCATGTCTTCAAGGTGAGTGTTGACGGGCGTGGTTGTGCGCGTGTGTGTGTATTGACAAACGCAGGTGTTCGTTGCCAACCCGAATAAATCGGTCGCAGTACAACGGATCCTGATTAGCAACCGGGACAAGCTGTTACGGTTCTTGCCGTCATTCTTGGACGACCGCACAGAAGACGAGCAGTTCATCGACGAGAAGAGCTTCTTGATCCGACAGATCGAGCAGCTTCCGCCAGCTCCGGTCGTGCCACCGACAGCGCAATAGCCAGTGTTGGAAGCGAGTATGATGTCTATCTGTTAGGTTTTGCATATCATGGCGTTTGAGGTTTGATATCCTTGGAGTTGTTCACAAGACGGGCGCAGCATCATCGGCGCATTTTAAATGGATGGATGTTGTGAATGCAGGGTAGGCTTGCAGATGCAGGGCCCGCAGTACGTTGTGCGCGGACAGCGGATCATGGTCGGCCTGCTTTTCCAAAAGTATGTTTGCGCATGTCAACCCCTTGGAGCCCCAAAAATAGTTGTTCAAGGAATGGTGAAGGTGTGCGAGCAATCCGACAGCAGGCCACATGCAGCATTACATACTATGATAGATACCAAGTGCTCGCGTGCTGTAGCCGGCATCTCGGATCCGCAAAGACATCTAGACTCCATATTTCATCACGCGGTGGATCTCCCGCGGCGAGCTTCCCCGCTTAATCGCTAACTATGACACGTGGTGGTGATTGGCTGCTATGTTGGCCGTCTGTCTGAGCCCGCGGCCAAGCCGGTGTCGCAGGTAGCAGGGCCGTAACAATCAAAACGTCGTACCTGCGGCAGACGGCTTACATTGTCGCGTTTGGAGAATTGTACCTGCATCGTTTCTGTCGCGTTGAAGCATCCCTTGACGCATCCTCCCGCTAAGCCCCTGATGCTAGCCCGTCGCTAGTTTAGGTAGGAAACCGGCTCTTCCTCCTTCTCGGCTTGGCGGCCAGACTAAAGCGAATCAGGTGCACGCCATCGAGCAGCATGACTTCAGAGGGGGCCCGGATAACTCGCTAGCTGCAGTTGCAGGACACCGCTACACACCAAGGGCCGCTGCTTAGTCCGGGGAATGAATTTCCTCTGAGAACCTTACCGTCTCTTCCCTCCGCCAGCTCCATCTCCGACCTGGATTCGGATGACGGCCCCCGAGTCTCGCAACCACGCACCAACATCGCGAAACTCATCCATCCGCCCACCCCTACCATGACGGATGAGCAGACGGCGGCTCGAAGACGTTCCTCCTCGCTCGCCGGCGCAACCCTGCCCACTAAAACAGACCTGAAGAAGCACCGCCGGCACCGTTCCGACCACATTGCTGAAGAAGGAGAAGAATCCTCGTCCGGTGCGGACCGTTCCGATTCAGACTCTGACAGCGACGACTCCGACCTCGACGACATGAGCGCAGACGGGCTCGAAGACGATGAGGAGACGGGCCTTACCAAGAGAGACAGGCGGAGACGCCGGAGAAGAAAGAGGAGGAACACGTTGCTCGACCAGCGCATCGTCCCCGACGATACGTACACAAAGGAGGAGAAGAAGCTCGCCGACCAGAACTTGCTCAAGTCCATGCTGGTCAACGGAGCCCTGATAGGCCTATGGTAGGACACAACCCCCCGTGTTGTCTCAGCTCAACTAATGTGTCTAGGTACCTCTTCTCCATTTCGATATCTGTCTACAACAAATGGATGTTCAAGGAAGCCAAGGGCGACGGCGAGACCAAGAACATCTTTCCATTTCCGCTCTTCACAACATGCCTGCATATGATCGTCCAATTCACGCTTGCGTCGCTCGTTCTATTCCTAATACCCTCCTTTCGACCTCGACACGATTCCCTTAACCCTCACGCTGCCGGCGCGCGTATGGAGCCCTTGGACCCAAACAAGCCGCTTATGACCAAATGGTTCTACTTCAGTAGACTCGGCCCGTGCGGTGCGGCCACTGGCATGGACATTGGCCTGGGCAATACGAGCTTGAAGTTCATCTCGTTGACATTTTTCAGTAAGGGATGAAATCTCGTTTCTCAGAACGCGGCTAACAACAACAGCCATGTGCAAATCATCTGCACTCGGCTTCGTGCTCATCTTCGCATTCCTCTTTCGCCTCGAACAGCCGTCCTGGCGACTTGTATTCATCATCCTTATCATGACCACTGGTGTCGTCATGATGGTAGCCGGCGAGGCTGCCTTTCACACACTCGGCTTCATTCTCGTCATGGTCTCAGCCTGCTCATCCGGCTTCCGCTGGTCCTTGACCCAAATTCTGCTCCTCCGCAACCCCGCGACCGCGAACCCATTTTCCTCCATCTTTTTCCTCGCACCCGTCATGTTCATCAGCATACTTATTCTCGCGATACCCGTGGAAGGCTTCTCCGCGCTCATGGAGGGTCTTTCACACCTATTCGAAACTAAAGGCACTGGCCTCGGCATTGGCATTCTTTTGTTCCCGGGAGTCCTGGCCTTCCTCATGACCTCGTCCGAGTTCGCTCTACTGAAGCGCACTTCGGTCGTCACTCTTAGCATTTGCGGCATTTTCAAGGAAGTTGTTACCATTGGAACCGCAAACCTCGTTTTCAAGGATCCCCTGACGCCTATCAACCTGACTGGGCTTGTTGTCACGATCGGCAGCATCGCGGCATACAATTACATGAAGATCAAGAAGATGAGAGAGGAAGCTCGCATGAATGCGCATCTCCAGAACCAAGAGGTGTATGCGCCTGTCAATACCGTGGATCCCTTGGAGCGCGACAGAAGAGGCAGTGTCGTTGTGCGACCAGGACAAGGCATTGTACGCAACAGTCTCCAGCTTGCGCCCGGACTAAGTGGGGGACCAGTAACGGAAGCTCCAGCGAGAGCAAGCCCGATAAAAACCGCTCGGGATACTGAGTAGCATGCAAGTGTGCAGCGATTGTTTTGATTCTAGCGTGTGCATTGGGTATTTTATCGCATTTTGTAGCATCATGGGCGTTTGGAACATGTGGGTAGTGAAAGGCGAGCGTTCAACTGCCGCCGTGGGATTACTATACCCTTTCCCTGAGACTACATCTGAACCACATTCGCTATGTATTATCAATAACTATTTTACATGTTTGACAAGCTGTTAATCTGGTTGACGATGAACGTGAACGAGTTTATACGGTATTACGTGTGGTAGTGCATGTGGTAGCTCAGTGCAAAGACCAATCAACCACACTGGAGACACTTCGGTGATCGCCATGAGCCGCGGAATTGCAGTCTAGGCATAACCCTTGGCCGCAGTTACCTCATCAGGGTCATGCACGTCGTGAACACCTGCCACTCCCACCCACGCATGCACATGCACATCTCCTTCACTCCTCCTCCTGCCGTTTGCTCACGGCATTCTGTTTCGGGCAAACGTCCGACTTATAAGCGTGCGGCGCTTCCAGGGCTTGTTTCGCACAACGCAGGTTTCAGAAGCCCCGAAAGCCCGGCAGTAAGCCTCATCGTGGCTTAAGTAGTACTGCCTGCCGGCGTGCACCACTCTACCGCCGTTTTCCTACCTCCCGAGAAACGCGCAGTACTCCCTTCGCTTTCTCCCTTCGACAGCGACCTCACGTCGCTCTACTACCGCCATGCGGCCTCTTACTACCCTCCTGGCGCTCCCTTTGGCGCTATTGCCTTCGCTCGCCTTTGCGCAGGATCTCGAAGTCCAAGTCACAAAACCGGCCGAATGTACGCGCAAGACTCAGAAGGGCGACACCGTGTCGATGATGTACAAGGGCACGCTGCAAAGCGACGGCAGCAAGTTCGACTCGAGTTATGACCGAGGAACACCCTTCAGCTTCACGATTGGCAAGGGCCAGGTCATCAAAGGCTGGGACCAGGGATTGTTGGACATGTGTATAGGAGAAGGAAGGAAGTTGACCATCCCGCCCAACCTGGCATATGGCAATCGGGCTATGGGCACCAAGATTCCTGCGGGATCTACACTGAGTACGTGTGGTCAGTTACAGCCATCTGGCCCTGTCTAACCGTGTATGCAGTTTTTGAGACAGAACTTATGGGCATTGATGGTGTCAAGGCCGAACCGCCGAAGCCTGTTGAACCTACGCCCCCAGCTCCTGAGAAGTCAACCGCTGCCGTTACAGATGACAATATCAACTCCAACGATGAAGAAGCGGCGCCCGAAAACGTACCGAGCCCTACCTCCACACCGTCATCCGAAGCCGCTCCCGTGGAGGCGAAGCCTGAGAAGACCGCAGCACCTGCTGCTGAGCCTAGCAAAATCGCCGAAGCGCAAGAAAACCCCATGGATGGCGAGAGCGGCAAGGGCGAGTGCAATCTCCTTGGCAACTTTGCCTTGCTTGTGCAGGGTGCTCTCGGACTTCTCGCAGTGTCCTCTCTCGCCGTCAAGAGGCTGAGAGAGTCCCCGCGACGACCTATGAAGATTTGGTTTTTCGATGTCTCGAAGCAGGTCTTTGGTTCAGTTCTGTTGCACCTTGCAAATGTCCTGATGTCCATGTTGTCTTCTGGCAAATTCGACGTAGCAGCGACCACAAGCGCAACCACCAAGTATGCGGGAACGAACGAAGAGGGTGATCAGCCGAACCCATGCTCGTTTTATCTCCTCAATCTGGCCATCGACGTAAGTAGATTCCTACTGACCCCTGTGTTTCGCGACTAACAAGCCTCAGACTACGATCGGCATACCCATTCTCGTGCTGCTCCTCAAAATCCTCCACGCCGCATTCGCGAAGACGCCCCTTGCCAACCCCCCAGAGTCCATCCGCAGCGGCAACTACGGCCAGCCACCACGCGCAACCTGGTGGCTTAAGCAGTCCATAATCTACTTCCTCGGTCTTATCGGCATGAAACTCTGTGTCCTCGCCATTTTCGCTTTCTTGCCTTGGATCGCATGGGTAGGAGACTGGGCACTTCGCTGGACAGAAGGAAACACGGCGCTACAGATCACTTTCGTCATGTTTATTTTCCCCTTGATTATGAACGCGTTACAGTACTGGATCATCGATAGCTTTATCAAGGATCCTGAGCATGGCAGCGGCAGTGGCACTGAGGGCAGGTATGGCGTTATTGGAGATGAGGATAGTGAGGATGAGGATGATGAGGAATGGTTGGAGAGACAGAGGCGGAGGCGTGAGGCGGGCATCGATGGCGAGGATAGTGATGTTGAGGCTGCTGAGGGTGATCCGTTGAAGGAGGCCAACCCTACTGTAGTCCCTGCAAGGAGTCGTAGTCTGAAGACTGGCGGCGACTACGATCCTGCGACTGACGGAGCAAGTGGCAGCCTCAAGACTAGGATGGAGTAGATTGATAGTGTGTTTTGATTGTTGTATTCGCATCTTCATTAGGACATGTTTGTTGTCGACGTCTCACGGCGACTCTGGGATATAGATATAGACATGCATTATATGTGCAGGGAAACATATTGGTATTTTGAGCAAGCATAAGGACTAGTGTGGTAAATCAGCTAGAGTCTCTACAACATGGGCTTGATCTCCGCTGCTTCCTTGAAGTCTGCACCAGTCTTCGACCGCACTTCGTCTACGGTAACACCATCCGCAAGCTCAACCAGGGTCAAGCCCTCGGTAAAGTCGACGTCGAACACACACTACCCAACGTCAGTCTCCAGTACCAGCGTTTGAATCGAAAAGAGGTTACTTACCAAATCCGTGATAATCCGGCTTACACATGCCTTGCCCGTAAGCGGAAACTCGCACTGCTTAAGAATCTTCGGCCTTCCCTTCTTGTCCGTATGTTCCATGGTAACAACAACCTTGGTGGCCTGCGGATTCGATACTAAATCCATAGCACCACCAAAGCCCTTGACCTTACCCGGCAACATCCAATTCGCCAGGTCGCCTCTTGCAGAAACTTGCATAGCGCCGAGGATTGTCAGGTTAATTTTACCAGCACGAATCATGCCGAAACTCTCTTCTGAGCCGAAGCATGATGCGCCAGGGAGAAGTGTGACAGTTTCTTTGCCCGCGTTGATGAGATCAGGATCTTCAAGTCCCTTCTGTGGATAGGGACCGAGACCCAGGATGCCGTTTTCGGATTGAAGTTGGACTTCGACAGAGGGGTCAACGAAGGAAGGAGCGAGCATAGGCATGCCGATTCCGAGGTTGGCGTACATGCCGTTTTTGAATTCCTTGGCTGCACGACGGACGATGCGTTCGCGTTTCGAGGCTGCGTCGCCAGCGCCCAAGGCAGAAACCGCTTCCTGAGGGTCCTTTGCGTTGACGACTTTTTCAATCTTCTTTTCGGCCGTCGATTGGATCACGCGGTCGACATAGATGCCTGGGACATGGACGGCGTTTGGTGGAATATCACCGACTTCGACAATGTGCTCAGCTTCTACGATTGTTACTTTGGCGTTGCGAGCCATGGCACCATTGAAGTTCTGGGCTGAGAAGCGGAACTGGACGTTTCCCAGGCGGTCGGCTTTGTATGCTTTGATAAAGGCGTAGTCGCCCTTGATACTCTCCTCCATTACATAGCTCTTGCCAGCGAAGACTTTGACGTCGCGAGGTGTGGAATATTGTGCTACGCTGCCGTCATTGTTATGCTTGAGTGCTAGTTCGCCGGTCTGCACAACGGTGCCGAAAGCAGCGGGTGTGTAGAAAGCTGGAATGCCGGCGCCACCGGCTCTACACCTCTCTGCTAGTGTGCCTTGGGGTGTGAGTTCCAGCTCCAACTCGCCAGTCAGATACATCTGTTCGAGGACCTTGTTCTCGCCCACGTAGCTTGCAATCATCTTCTTGACTTGTTTGCTTTCCAGCAACAAACCTAGACCTCCCCCAACCACGCCAGCATTGTTGGATACAGCGGTTAGGCCTGTGATTTTTGGTGTGCTTTTTACTTGGTGAATGAGTGTGTCTGGAACACCTGAAAGACCGAAGCCTCCGCACAAAAGCGTACTGTCGGATGACATGTCTTCGATGGCCGCAGCGGCACTTGGGTAGACCTTGTTGATCTCATTGCGGCGGAGAGACGACGAGAAGGAGCGCGAGAGGTTGAGGTACGTCTGCCAGAGTCAGTTGTTGCTTAGCATGGGTTCAATGATATTTGTGTACTTTTGTTGTGCTTCGCGAAAAGGTGCGCGCCGTGCGAAGGGTAAGGGATATCGACGGCATTCTGGGCAGAGCTTGGTACAGGTAAACAAATTTCCAGAATATTATGTTCAGCCCTCAATCTACAGACTGGAAAGATATGTACAAGTGGCCGTGGAGAGGGATGCTGCGCCCCCGAAATCTATAGACCCAAGCATCGTCGCAGCCTCGGGAATCTTTAGTATGGGTTGCGTCGGCCTCTCCAAGCGGGAGGGCGGAACGGCGCCGACGCGGAATGTGGAGGAAAGTCGAGGGCTTGGAAAGCGGAGAGGTAAGATACCAGATGCTGATTGGGTGGGTGTGGGCTGACTCAGGCATACCACGGAGTTGTTTTCCAGCCCGGAACGTCTGATATTCATCAGGAACCTTGTGGGCTCACGATTCTTCTTCACTACATGCCCAACCCTGCCACGTAAAGTTCACGTTGTTGATCGCACCATTATGCCCTGTATGAACCACCACCGAAGTGTCGTCCATTACTCTCACACAACGGCCTCTCTTATCTGCCCACGGCCAATCAGCGAGACAGTAGAGACATCTCACTTTCTTGATAAGAGACTGAGGAGGCTTAACAAGAGGTGCAGATGTACAAAGCTGTACTGGACGGCTGTGTTTTTGCCAACGTCACGACTGTGCGCAGTTCAAATGCGTTGTGAGACAGTAACCTCTCCGGCGTTGTCCATGAACTGATAGTATTCATGATCCGAATCTTTATGCCTTGGCAAATTTTCAATCTGGCAAATATATCCAAAGGGTTACGGTAGTGGCATGCAAGATGCGATGCCGGCTTCATTGTGGTGCTAATTGTAAGACCTTGAATGACGCAAATGCTTCCTAGGTGCGCATCGCTCGTCTTTGCCGCACCATTCATAATCTTATCGGAGCCGACCAGATGCCAAAGCAATCTCGCTATGCTTCGAATCATCGCATTTGTCCAATGCAGCTGGTAGCACAGCCTTCTGTTCGGCACCTCCGAATCCCAACTGGCCTAAGGCCCCATGTACTCCCGCAAGTAAGCCGCCTAGCCGCGGCTAGACCCAATGCAGTAGCAATCATGGCCAAGACTGGCACGTCGTTCAGCTACGCCTATCACTATCGGTCGATCACCACCCAGGTACCGTTATGATGGAGTGTAAGCTTAAGCCCTCTGTAGTAATAAAGCTACAGAAATGCTCGCTTGTATGAGGCGTTCAGATCCGCCACAACCACCACCTTGAATCATACCCTCCGGTTGAACCTAAGCAGTCCTATTCGATGTCGAAAGTGACCATGGCCCAGAAAGGAGAAAATAAAGCAACGCGTCAATGCTGGGATTGTCTCAAACGGCGTCTAGTATGCGACAACACGCTCCCACATTGTATGAAGTGTCAGAAAGCCGGTCGTCAATGCTCTGGTTATGATGACGCAAAGCCGCTTCAGTGGATCCAGCCAGGCAAGGTAACTTCTAGGCGGAGGAGGAAGAAAGATGGTAGCTCGCCGAAAACCTACACCATTGAACCCACAGCCAATAGTGAGACGAGAACGTGTCAGGATGTTAACGTACCTGAACAAACGAGCTGTAAGCCGATGCATGAAGAAGACTACATTTGTGAGCCTGTAGATTATGAAGCAGCCCTGTCGTCTTGGGAGAATGATCGGGTCTCCCACCCTGGAGATCGGATCACGGACCTCCATGCGTTATCTTTCAAGATGACAGCAAGTGCCAGAGAAGCGGGCAGGATATTTCAGATCGGTGGAAGGGCTAAGATCGAAGAGATTGTCGAAAGTGGTTCACATGAGGAGGCTGCAAAGTTGTTGCGCTCAGACCGTAATCCACTTCAACGGCTCAAACGTCTACTCGAGGTTTTACAACTGCAGGACGTACCAACATATAGGGATCTTACGGATGAAACCTCGGAAGTGGTGCAAGCTGTTCAATACTGTGAGTAATTCCTGACTTGACATTAGAGGTGCATCTAGGACTAGTCGCTGATGCTACCAGACAACCTGCGCATACATACAGCATACAAGGCAGCTGGAGAGTTAGCACCTAATCCTGCACTTGTGCCTTTCCCTCAACAGGCCTTGCATCTGCTCACCCCGGCAATCCACCATACGCTAGTCTGCCTGTCCCTCAATCATTTTATCCATACTTCACCGTTGGGAATCGACCGTGCAGTGCTAGCTCCCAATCGGTGGAAGGTATATCACCACCGTGGAGCAGCTTTGCGGGCATTAGGACAGCACATTGGCCAAGACAAGACAAGATGTTCGGATATGACAATCACTACCATTCTCATGTTCATGTGCTTGGAGGTATGTTGAGCCCGTGCTAATCGATAGGCTTCGAATCAAGTACTGATAAGTACTTGCAGCTCCAGAATCCTTCTTTTGCAGACTGGCGTTCACATGTGAATGGCATGAAGCGAATAGTCGACCTAAGAGGTGGGCCGAAGAAGCTCATGAAGGAAGCGCCACACTTGGTACCATCGTTGGTACTTTACCTACTGTACGTTGCTTTGTGATGTCAATTGCGGTCAGGGTCTAACTTGAATGAACAGTATTGTGTCCGTGGCCAACACGTGCAGTCCGTCGTGGGACCAAGTTGAGATCAACAGCACTGCAGATGATGTGACCGAGGACATCACCAGTATCTACAGTCTCATCTTTCCATACACGCTCTGTCCACCCGAGCTGTTCACCGAGATGCTGCATATAAACCGACTGCGCGCCAAAGCATCTGCGGCAGTCTTGCAGTGTGATTTTGATGTAGACCACACATTGAAGGCTTATGATCTGCTTGCTCGCATCGAGGCCTTCTCGGTTGAAGATTGGGCACAACCCGGCACCTTTTACAATGAATGGTTGATTGTTGGCACAGTGTACAAGTCCGCCCTCGCACTGTACGCCATCTTATCCTTGGGCTCGCTCACTGTCCTCCCAGCAGATGCTTCACTGCTTGACATGCAAACAGTTCACGGCGATATCCTACTCCGCAATCTGCGCACAGCACTCAAGGATCCGCGTATAGCTAGATTCATGGCATGGCCGCTGGTGGTGGTGGGTGTAGAAGCTATATACCGTGGAGAGGCAACGAGGGACTGGATCGGAGCAAGTTTGGAGGAGTTGAGCAGGACGCTAGGTACGAGTGGTCCGATCAAGGCGTGTTCGGTATTGAGGAGGTATTGGAAGGGCGGGGTTTCAGGGTGGGATGAGTGTTTCGATCGGCCGTATGTGTTTGTCATCTAGAAAGCGAGCTAGTCAAGGCAGTGTAGCGTCTTTGGTCTCATGGTAGCAAAAACTTTGTGTTGTATCGCTAGTGTGCGTAATGTACAGGCTTGCTATACAGAGGGGGAATGGAGGCCCCGTGACTCACACCCAAACGCCGATATATGCTGTTGTCGCGACAGAGAGCCAGCACTACCGCTCCAGACCCTTGTTGTCTGGATCCTCATCGCCCTTGGTCTCCTTGACATCTTTATACGGGCGGCCGGCGTAGAGCATGTACCCCTTCTCCTCAATGGTGCCCGTCTTCTCGTCTGCCTCGGCTCGTCCCTGGCCAAATGCGCCTGTCTCGAGTTGTCCCTGGACGGCGATGGGTCGGTTGCCGCGGAACCGCTTGCGCATGTCAATCATGCCTTTTTTACATTCGGCGTACCCCTTCTGCAGCTGCTGGCACTGGGTGGGGAGCGTGTATTTGAGGGGTGGACGCAGACATTCGCCTGGCGTGTGCCGGTCGACCATTATGCAGTCGCTATTTTGGAGGCAGAATGCCAGCGCAGCGCCTAGCCACTACGGTTAGCCGAGGCAGTCGAGGGATGGTGAAACAGGCCATACGGATGTCTTTACATGATTGCGGCATGTTGGCTGGGTGGTCGTGTGTGGCTACCAGCGCATTCAACAATGCATGTGTGGAGTGACTTGGTGGAGCAAAAGGCCATCGGCGGAAACGTCGCGCTAAGCTCCGGGGCTCAATGCGTTGTCACATGTCAGGGATGGACAGACGGACGGATGCTTTCGTCTGGAACGTCATTTGGACATTGGCTACTGGATCCTGCTACCCGCCCTGGAGCCTTTCCTCACCGTAGTTCAGGAGGGGCTCAAGCTTCGACTTTCCAGAGGCCCGCGCTCCAGAGGGGCTATGCGTTGTCCTGCAAGTCTTTCGTCGACGCTTTAATTGCTCGTGTGCCCTCAAGTCTCGACACGCCCGCGGGCACCATGGCGCTCCATATACCCTTCCTGTCGCGCCTGCACATCCGCGAGTACGTCGCCCTGTCGGTTTCCGTGTGTCTCATCATCCTCGAATCCATCATCGCCGTCATCACCCTCGCCCTGCCCACGCCCATCATCAACTTTTGCTACCGCCTGACCCGCCGCCTGTTCAACCACCTCTCCTCGCCCTCGTCCAAGCGCTCGCGCCAGAAGAAGAAGGGCGTGTGGAGCTCCATCGCCAACGCATCCGATTTTACCGAGCTATGCGACCTCTACGGCTACTACTGCGAGGAACACATTGTACAGACCGGTGATGGCTATCTCCTGGGTCTGCACCGCCTGGGCTGGCGACAGGGCGAAGAAAACATGCGCGTCAACAGCGGAGACAAGGCAAAAGGCCTCAAGAAGAAGGTTGTCTACCTCCACCACGGCCTGATGATGAACAGCGAGGTCTGGGTTTGCTTGACCGATAAGCAGCGATGCTTGCCGTTTGAGCTGGTGGAGCGAGGATACGACGTCTGGCTCGGCAACAACCGCGGAAACAAGTACTCCAAGAAGAGCGTCCATACTCCCCCTACTTCGAGCAGCTTCTGGAACTTCAGCATGGACCAATTCGCCTTCCACGACATTCCCGACTCCATTGCCTACATTCTCGAGACTACGCATCAGCCGTCGCTATCGTACATTGGCTTTTCCCAAGGTACTGCCCAGGCCTTTGCAACGTTATCTATCCATCCTACGCTCAACGAGAAGGTAGATGTTTTCATTGCGCTAGCCCCAGCCATGTCGCCCAAGGGCGTTGCGTCAGGCATTGTCGACGCTTTCGTGAAAGCTTCTCCGGACATTCTGTACTTGGCCTTTGGGCGCAAGACCATTCTCCCGTCGGCGACCATGTGGCAATCTATCCTATATCCACCCATCTTCGTTCGCTTCATTGACACATCCCTGCGCTTCCTGTTCAACTGGTCCGCTGTCAACATTCTGCCCGAGCAAAAGCTCGCAGCATACCCACATCTGTATTCATACACGTCGACCAAGAGCGTGGTACACTGGTTCCAGATCATTCGAAATGGCACATTTCAAATGTACGACGATGAAGCGCCAAACCCGATCACCTCGAATCGGTCCAAGTACTACAAAGTCGCCAAATTTCCAACCAAGAACATCAAAACGCCCATTGTGCTTGTCTACGGTGGTTCAGACAGTCTAGTCGACATTGATGTTATGCTAAAGGAGCTGCCGTCTCATACCATAGCAAAGGAAATCCCCCACTACGAGCATCTGGACTTTTTGTGGGCCGAGTCGGTCGACACTCTCGTTTTCCCACATGTCTTTGAAGCACTGGATAAATTTGCAACTTCAGAAGCGGCAGCTCTAGAGGGTCAGAAACAACGACGCTTGCGATCACCGGGCAGGTATCAAGGTCTTTTGCCAGAATCCAGTAAGCTCCCTGGGTTAGACGCCGAAGACTACGACGAAGACGATGCGGGAGACGAGAGCGCGACAGCTCCAGTAGCGCTACGGACAAGAAAGGTGTCCCAGCCCTCGCGGACGCCGAGCTCCATCGATGGTACGACATTAGCAGAAAGGCCGTTGTCGTTAGCCAGTGCCGTCTCCCCACCCAAGACAACACGACCTGCTACGCATCGGAGGACTCTTACAGAAGAGAAACCCTCGCCTGTCCGCAGTAGAATCATGTCACCACCTCCGTCACACAGAATGTCAACCATGTCTACACCAGACCCCACAAACAGGATGTCAACCATATCTACACCAGATCCTTCAAATAGGATATCGACCATATCCTTCAACTCCCCAGGTGCGTCAGTTGGCGATTCGCAAATCACGGAAAAGACCTCCACGTCTCGGCCTGAGGGATGGTGGTCCTCGGACGAAGTCGCTGGTACGGATCCGTCTCAAACTACCACACCCGCTAACCAGACCCCCGCCAGGAGGTCAAGCTTCGACAGCCAGCAGAGCACGAAGAGTATGGCGGGCAAATTCGGAGCCAATGGTATCACTCTTGGCGCGAGCAAAGCCGTCAGCGGACTCACACAAGGAGAAGGATTCAACTTCGGCGAGGGCAGTAGTAACAAGAGTCAAATCGATCGGGAAAGACTACTGGAGGCGGATAGGAAACAGCGGAGGAACGTCTTGAAGAAGAGGCATCCATCTAGTGGTTGATGTGACGAGTGACGACCATTTGTGTATTACCTGTTGTTTGCAAATTGAATGACAAGAATCTTCATGGCTACCTCATAGCGGCTTTGGAATTTGCAATTTCTCGAACAACATCTATCTCGTGTACGAAGGAGAAGGATCGAAGAACCTTTTCCAATACTCCACGGCACCATTTCAACCCCACTTCAGGCCACCTTCACAAACGTGATTGGCCACGGAACCCGGCGCCGCTGCACCTCTGCAGCGTAACGAGACCTCACTCTTACTTCACTCTTACCTAGGCTACGTGTTTGCAACAATGCTATAGATGCCAATCAATCACTTTTCGATCCTGCGAAACGCACCAAAGACCAGCAACACCCCAAGCTACATTGTAGATACCATGACATGGATATGGAACGGCGCTGTAACCATCTACCGCACTCTATCTCGCATATTGTTGCCTAAACACTTCAACGGAAAGGTGAGCAGTTGTTCCTTTAGGCTTGCGGCCTGCAATTATGACCAAAGCTCAAAAAAGATGAAAAGGACGATTACGATCCAGCATATCGGAGCTTCGTCTTCTACAGGACCTTGTCTCCTAACGAGGTAAGTCGACGTCGATGATTTGCAGTACAAGAAGGCACGCTGATTTACACGTGTAATTAAGTCGTTGTCAAGTTTTGGCAGACCGTCGATGGAGAGTGGGATGGATGAAATGGAGGATTCACAAAGACCACATGCATGAAAGAAGCTGTTTCGAGTGGAAACCAGTTCTAACTGGGTTGTCTCCGTGTATGTGTCGTGAACTAAGCTACCTCTGTTCGGACATCTAGAGTCCCTTACATAGCCGATGACAAGAGAAATGGGTTTGGGTCATCACTTCACCCAACTGCTAACTAGGCGGCTCCGAAAAATCGCCTCCTTCATGTTCTAGCTCCATGGGATCGCCCTGTTGCATCTGGTGATGCATTTGCTGCTGCATCTGTTGTTGCATGAGCTGCTGCTGCGATAGATTCATCTCGGAAGCATCCCAGTCCAGATTACTGAAAGGCGCTGAATGCCACCACAATTGTTGCATTTCAACAATAGGCACTCCTTGGTCGAAGCTTGTGAAGAATGGGTTACCAAAAGCAGAAGGTGTTGGTTGTTGTGTGGGTAAAGGATATTGGAGCAGCGGATCCACGAGATGATCATGGGATAGTGGGGGTGGGTAGTTTGGCGGCATCTCTTCCGAGAAACCTGTACCGCTTGGTGTATCCCATGAAGTTGACTGTGACTGAAACGTAGAGGATGCACCGGGACGGGCCGGCTGCGCAGGCTGCGAGGTCCAATTACTATCATCGTCAATCAACTCCTTCACCTGCTCCCGAAGAACTGGAGCGCAGCTATTCAGAATCTTGTAAACGACATCGTGAGCACGAGCTGCAACTGGGTCGTTCGCTTTCATGGCCCGAAGCCAGCGTATCATCTTTTTGATACACGCAAGGATATCGGCTTTCTCGTCTTTCAGGTGCTTGCCCTCATAGGCCATCTCGAGCAGAAGTACGGCTAAAGCTTGCATAACTAACGTGACGACAGTCAGCTTTAATGAAACAGTACTTCAACCATGATAGACTTACTGATGTGAACCACATCCCACCATGGCCCCTGGGAGTAGATAAAGCCTGTATCTGGCTGCTCGGGGAACAGCATTGCCATCTGTCGAGCTGCTTCGACACAAGTCTCGGCAGTGTCGGTGTTGAAGTTCATGGACTTCGAACTCTCCGTTGCTATCCTCCGTTCGATTCGGCATAGACAGGGTCTAGTAATAAGAACTTTCGTACTCCAATAGTAGATTCTGAGCAGGAACCGCTCACGGTTGAGATCGGATCGTTGAGTCCGAGTACTGGGACGGGCATCCTCAGGTGGTAAAGCCGTCTGCACCCAGTTTTCTAGTTCCTTGAGTAACTCCGTGATTTTCGTTTGAACGTACTGTAGGCATACTAGTCAGGAGATGGCCATAGATTCGTATGAGAAATTGTTCGCTGGGAATGCAAAAAACCATTTGGAGGAAAAGTACACGTACCTGCCAAGATTGTACCGCAGTTCGAGGTGAATACAGACTGAGAAGGACCTTTTGTTGAATGATAGTCAGGGTAATATACGTATGGAGATAGTGGTTCTTGTCTGTCTTCCGTTTGCTAGACTCGGAAGCTCTATTATTTGCCGTAGTCTGAGGCGAGCCGTAGTTGGTGCGAATGCGAGATGTTTGTCGGGTTGGCGATTCGGGGGATTGTTGTGGCAAGGATACAGTACAATCCTCGTTCCCGATGACTGGAGGACGGCCGGTGATAGAAGAGACGAGACACTCTATTGAGTGCAAACACCACCATGTTTTTACTAGCGGCTCCCTCCTGGAATCACTCAATGAAGTGTCCTCGTTGCGCAAGTGCAGACCGAGCGCCAAGGCAAGCCTGATAGAAAGTCCTATCATAATCCATGCTCTAC